ATTCAAATAAAACTTCAACATCTCTACTGCTTTAAAGAGTAAAAGTATTTCTCTGCTTTGATTCTAAAATAACTTGAAATATATATACAAACACCACTTTAAAGCACCGAACCTAGAGTAAAAATTGACTAAAAAAATCCAGCAGTGTAATAAACAAAATATTTAAGGAGTTTCAGGTAATACTATCAAGAAAAGGGGCGGTTTTCTCTGTGATTTTTAAGTCTGCACAATCTGACAGGACACAGACCCATCACAAGTGCCACCTCTGTTAAACCGGGGTGCAAGAGGGGCCCCGCAAGGCAGCGGGAGCAGCTCTGCCCCGCACAGCTTCTGCCGCAAACGCATCCCCCGAAGCCACGCCGCCTCCGAGGCCGATTTAAGGAAGAAGGGGCGGCCTCGGGAGCGCCGCAGCGAGGGCAGGCGGCACAAACCGCCCTCGCTACCGCCCCTGAGGTAACCGAGAACACTAATTACCGGTCCAGCAGTCAGAAACACTTCTGGAACGCTCTCAAATTAATCACAAAGAAAAAAAACACCCAAAACATACAAGACTGGAACAGTCTACTGCTTATTTTTTAAGCAATGACCACCTGCGTACCTCCAAGATGATCATCAGAATCCCCTCTATAAAGTAACCCTCCTTAGGTCTAAAAAGTAGTTCACAAATTCCTTCTGCCCCAGTGATAAAGAAAAATCCATCCTACAACTCAAAATTATTCATACAAACCACGCAGGCTCAGATCTGGCTTGCAAAATTTTGCCAGTACTTTGCCAGCAGAAGAAAAAATCCATACTACCAGAATATAACCTTCTTCCTAAAACAACACAGGAACTCATAAATAAATAATAAAACCATTTGGGAGATTTGGATGAATGCATCACACTTGGGGCCAGAAACCAGGTTTGGATCTAGGAGCTCTAGGGCCATTTGTTTGTGTCCCTAGTGAAATAAAACTTTAATTCCATATGACTGCATTTTTCTGTTATCTCATAAACATTCCCTTTTCCCCCCAGACATCCGTCCCTTTCCGTGTGGACCAGCTCCCACACCGCAGTGAGGAGACTCCCTCGGCTAAAAGTTGCTCCTGCCTCACAGCGCATCCAGGTTCCTTCCTGCAGCCACACCGGAAAAACAAGACCTGTGGCTACCGTGACAACCCTTGAATATTATTATGACTAGTTTTAAAATAAGGAGGAAGGAAAACAGAAAACGTTCCCTTATTATTTTAAAGGGAAACAGCAGTGATTTGGTGACATCAGGGCTGTTACGGCAATACTACCCTAAGAAATTTTCATCCTTCACTTAGGCCAGTTACTCCCCATAACTACGTCCGCCCCTCTCGGGAGATGCTGGTTTGCTCATGAAGCGGTTTCAAGCTGCCTAGGGATTTGGCAGCAAGCCGAAGGGGCTGCCTCCCCTATGCCAGGGCACGCGGCCTCCACAAGGCTGTTCGTGGCGCCTGCGCTATTAAGGGAGCAAAAGAAAAAACGTATCTTTAGAAACCAGCAACCTTTTGGTAATAAATTAAGTTTTCCAAGCAAGTTTCTTTTAGCTGTCAGAAGCCTCTGCTGCTATAAGGATCACGTATTACCCATCACTGTACTGTAATACTGCAAAAAAAGACTCTGGAGTATAAACCACTGCTTGATGAGAAGCCCTGGAAAAGGGCTATACTACAAGGTGCTATTTCTCCATAAGCGACTGATTCCTATTTAGCCTCAGTGAAGAAAATAGTGCAATACTTTCACAAACAACACTCACCCTGTTATTTTTAGTTGTTACAGATTGATGATACAATCAAACATAAACTATAGCTGGTAAGGAAGCAAAAAAAAATCACTGAAGAGGCAAAAGAGAAAAGGCTTCATCTTTTTATTTGCTGTATTTCACATGGAATCCAATGAAAACTCATAGTTATAAAAGAAAAAAAAGTTAAAACCATTTAGACCTTTTTTTTTCATATGTAATTATGCAATTGTCTTGATGTTTCTATGGGCATGATTACCATAATAATTTTTTATTCTGGCTTCAAAAGGAAGGAATTTAAACATACAAGGTTGGAATAAAAATCTATTTCAAATGACTTATCAAAATTAGACCTCGCACATCACCTACAGTGAATTATAAAATGTGCACTACATGTATAATCTGTACCTTTTGCTCTCCATGAAAGAAGCATACTTTGCCTTTAAACAGGAAGAAAAGCTACCAAATCAATAGCAGAACAGAAGAACAATGAAGTGCAAAGGGCTAAACTTAACCTTTCCCTCAGAGACACCACTTATATTCAAGCATAATACATCTATTTCCCAGGAAGAAAATACACCTAATGTGTGATCTCAAAGCAGAAGAAAGTCCACTTATTCTGTAGACTCTGACTGAAAGAAAGAAAAACTGAGGTCAGACAAAAACTTTGAAGTACACTACGTGAAAGCAATCCTCAGAAATCGAACCTCACAGAGACAAGCCTGGGAACGGCATCATCTCACAGAAAGGCTCTAACGAAAAATCCTTACAGTAGAAATCTGATTCTTCCTGAAGGAAAGGTCAATCCATCAGGGAAAAAAATAAAAAAATAAAAATGGAATCTGAAAATGTCTCAAAATGTCTGTGTTTTTGAAAATTAAATGTAAAAGCGCTAGTCATTTACGAGTTCAGTACTAACAGGGAAACAAAGGTATTTCAAAGTAAATGCCTGAACACGAGTCTGGAGAACAGCCCCAACATTTTCCAACTTTCTTGCAGAAGCATCTTGTGCCAGACACTCAAAATATACTCCAGTTAAGCAATTTTCCTCCACTAGCTCACACGTCATCAACCAACCTTCACCTAGAGCTTTCTAACACACAACTGGGTTGAATGAAATTATACCCAGAATATATTATGCAGGCCATCATAAGTGCACAAGACTTTCCTGAGAAGAAAATCTTGCCAAAAAATTATACTTCATTTAAAATAAAAAAGTAACATTGTGACATCATAAGAAGAACTTTCTAAAAAGCAGAAAAACACCTGTGAGTTCACAAAAGTTAAGATAATCCTCCTAGATTTATGAAATGAATCATTGGAAGCTTAAAAAACAACAACAAAAAAACCTCTCATGTTTTATGTAGTTTGTAGAAGCAGCCTGGTCCAAATTTAACTCTTTTTACAATAAAAGAACAGGTATTTTTTAAACCCCAAAAAACATTTTTGAGGGAATTCCACTGAGACAAATACTTAATGCTTACATTAGCTCAGGCACTAGCAATAAGAGACAAAACGTCAACATAACAAAAGCATATCTGAAGAAATGGTTATTGCTAACAACATTTTTAAGTCCATCTTTATCAAGTTAATAAATGTCGTAATGTTAAATGTCATACTATTTAAATAGTTATTTAAAGAATTAAAATAACTGCATCTTCTTACCCCCTCAAAAACGTGTTTTATATTACAAGATTTCCTCTAAGGAAATCATTAACTTAAATGTCTCTTGCCAATTACCCAGCAATTCATTCACTCAAACTTTACCTTCCTATAGGTAAGCTTAATTTTCATAACAGTGATGATTTCACTTCTCTGACATCACAATTTGTTATTAGACAAGTGAATGCTGCAGAATTAAAGTGCTCAAGTTCACAATTAACATCAGCTACTTGGTCCCTATAAATCTGAAGACTACTGATCCAAACTACCTCCATCAAATCAAGACGACAAGGTAACAAACATCTTTCAGGTTGTTCCTAGTACTCTTGCAAAATGATGCAGAGGGAGTTTTCTCTTTACTGTATTCATTTTTTTTTCCAGAGCAGATAAGGAGTTTGCCAAGGAATAACCCAACAGTAATTTCTCCCTGCTTCCTCCTGTCAAGAAGAAAGCAGCCATGCAATGGTCCCCACATTAGTCCAAGATCAAGTATGACTCAAGTATTTTAAGAAGCACTCCTTGTAGGCCAAAAGCTTACACTGGGATTCTCCCCAACCCAAAATCTTGGGCAAGGGGCGGGGGGGAAAGAGAGAGAGAGACAATATTATTCTGACCAAAGACAGGAAAAATTAAACTTTCCAGGTAGAGGCAGCACTGAAATGCAGGTATCCTACTTCTTTCCTTCCATATATTTAGGCCTAAACCTGTGCAAATATATGAATGTACAAGACTTGGAGGACAGGATGTGCCTTGTTTCAATTCTTTTTTAGCATTCTGAATTTTAAGCCTCTGGCAGATAAGAAGTTTCTGTTTCCTCTTGCACAAGCAAAAGTGCACCTGAAAATTTCCTAACACTCATAACAGTGCTGTTCAGTATAACTGTGACAGACTCAGTTTTAACTCTGAATAGAGTTTGATGCTCTTTTGTATGTCTGTAGCACAGCACCAGAAAGCTGACAAGAGAAGGCATTGAGGTGTGTAAAGTTCACAGGCACAGTAGCCATCATGTGGTTTGAGGAATCCTTCATGGAAATGCACAAAAAGATCATCCATACTTCAGGTAAACAGTGCCTCAAACTTGCAGAGATCTGCTTTCCAGCTTTTCAAAGAATACTTAATACACATGAATCCCCAGGGAGTAATCTGTATGCACTACCACATATACATACATATACACATATCCACACATGAATGTACACACAAACATGCACACATATATAAATATTCACATGAAGCCATTTTCACAAAAAACTTTTTAAAGCCTACATGAATTGGTTGGAATACATGAATAGGTCTACATGAATAGGTTGGAAGCTAATGCAACTTCCACTGTGAACAATCTTACTCTAAAGTAAGTGTGACCATATCACGTTATATTTATCCCTCCAAATTTCCTCATATACACAAGATTCAAGACAATGGCATTTAAAAAAACACATTTATACTTTGAGTCAAATAAAAGACTCTCTGATGACATCTAAAATTCAAGTCACTTGGGAGAGAGAGGGGAGCAGGAAGGGACAGACATACGGACTTTTTTGCACATAGCACAACTTCGTAATCTCAGGTTCTGCACAGTTCCAAATGTTACCTTCATCAAAGTCCGCATCATCTTCTGTATGTTGTGGGAAAGGAAAACAATTTGTGATTTCAAGTCTGTCATCCACCACAAGTCCCAGCAGCACTCCTTGGACCACTTCATTCCCCTGTCCTTCTTCTTGGTAATGTTTAATGATCTTTAATACAACCTAAAGCACAGAAGCAAGAAATCCGTATTAAGCAACTTTTTTTTTTTAAACACAATTTTAAAACTCCAGATTTATAGTTTAAGGGTTCTCTAAATTAGAGCTGCAAACCAAGCAAGCTACTGACTAAAACACCAGCAATTTTAATACAGCCTAAAGAAGAAAAGGCCATTCTAAAATTACAGGGAAATAAAAAAGACCATTAAACAAGCAGTCAAAACACAGTTCTCAACCAATTTTCTGAAACATCCTTCTAAAATGAAATATTGATCTTTTCTTCTGTACGTTGTTGCTGTAACTGTTAAAAGCTCTCTTACGGGGGCAATAAGCTCCCTCCTGGGGGAGACATGACACAGGAAACACTACCAAAACACCTTAAAACCAGCTATGCAGAAAGTTGTAGTAATTTTTTAAAACGTAAAAGATCCATCTACTTTCAGTTGCATTAACTTTTAAGGTTACATCCTGGTGCAGTTTTATGTCAGATGGTAACGCTTTTTTTTATGATGTAAAATAGTATTTTTCCAAAGGATATTTAAAATTATGAAACAATGACAGCACAAAGAGCAGCACAAACAAGGAGCATTTTTTTTTAATCTTTAATTATGTATTTCTCTCTTGTTCTCCTAAATCTGAATTCTGCAATGATCTGCAATTCTCATAAGATCATACTGTAAGTACAAGTAGCGTAACGGGAAAAACAACCATTCAAATATAGCCCACTAACCACCAAAAATGCTTTACACTCGACTTTTTTTGTTGTTATTAATAAAAAGGATCAGAAACCCTAACCATCGACTGGAGAAAAATAACACTAGGTATATTTCTATTCTTTACTACGTATAATGCATTTAAAATTGACATGAATTTGACATGAACCACCAATTTTAAATACATTGTATGTAATGAAGAATGGAAATAAAGTGCCACAATAAAACTAAGAATTTTTTTTAAAAAAAAACATTATAAACATTACTCATTCTTAGGGCAAAGTGGGAAAAGAACTTCATGGATAGCCCAGGAAAAAAAAGAAATGTAGAAAAGAAATTCAGCAGTTTTCAAACCTTAACCTGACTACTTTGACAGATATTACCCAGAGAGATACAGACTCCACAGACCGAATTTAGAGATTGACTGATTCAGTATATTGAATTTAGATAAGCTGACAAGTGTTGTTTTTGTTACCCTCCTCATACTCCTGTAAAGTATCTCATGATCTTCAGGTTTAAAACAACTTTTTTAAACTTCATACCTATTAACAAGTTGCAGAAGCTAAGGCTGTGTGTAAAATACATTAGCTACAGCTACTGAAAACATGTATGAAAAAATAAATGAAGACATTGAGAAACGATTCCAATGACACCTCATTCTTCTTCTCACTGAAGTGAGAGTTCTGGAGTTTTATTTAGCATATAACACTCAAACCATTAGTACAGCAGGATCTTGAACTTGGACTGAAAAGCCTGCCATCAAAATACAAGTCTATAACAAAACATGCCCTGGCATTTTGCATTTTAGTATTAAAATAGACCTTCAGATGTCGAGCAGAGCTACCTCTTTAGTGGTGGCAAGGAGACCAGTTTCAGACGCTGGCACATCACTCCTTTCAGTCATCCTCCTTTGCACCAGGCAAACGTAACCGCTATGCCCATGCCAATGCCAAGGCAGTTCCCGATTTCACTGCTTAAACCAATGCTTGATGAGTGAAGAAACTACGAAAATAAGCACTGACCTACACACTTCCCCAGCAGGCTTGTCAAGTAACAGAACAAAAGCAGAACACACTTATTTTCAGACCGATAAAGTATTTTGATACTTCATAGCTTTAAATAGCACAACACAGAGTATTATCAATCTTTTTTTCCAAACGACAAATAAAGGAATATCCTGAAGAAATCTGAATAGGCACCATAATAACCTTCCTTTCATCCAATGCCAATACACTTTTCCAAATACTATTTTCAGTTCCCATCCACTGATCCTTTCATTAACAACACATACTGCCCCTTTGTACTAACTGTAACTGTTTTCAATACTCTTAGACCCATTAGGGGTAAGATAAGATCATTGCTAAACCATTGCTACATGAAGTTAACACCAACAGAAAATGCATTTCAACAATGAATCACATCTTCGGTATAAGTGTATTTCTGCCATAAAGAAGAGTTATGTACACAAGTAGAAACTGAAACAGTTAATATGACTCAGGGTTAAAAAAAAAAAACAAAAAAAAAAAAAAAAACACTTTTTTTGTAAAGGAAGCTTACTTAATTCTGATGCCTCATAATGCACGTCATTAATGTTGTCAGTTATTCATTTTAAAGCAACTTTTCTGAGGTAAACACTGCTGCTAATAGGTATGCCATTCATACATCCATAATATCCTTATTTTCTTTTCTTCTTTCTCTTTTTTAATAGTAATGCTACTCTCTTTATGCTACTTTACAAAGGCTGTTCAAAAAAGAATACACGACACTAAATCTCAAGACTCCCTCAGCCTTGTAAATTTAGTCTTCAAAATACCAAAGCAATTCAATCACTTGAAGTAGCCACTTGCCAAATTTAAAGGCCATTAATCCTCAGTTAGCAAAAATGCCTGTATTTCAGCAGTGTTTCTAATCTTCAAAGCACCGTTCAAACATCAGCAGTGAAGTCATCCTACAAAACAGAACCATTCCAAAACTGTTACAGTGATCAAAGACACCTCCCTGCTGAGGTAAAATCCCTAATTTGAAACTTTGGTTACACTCTGATAGCGTGATTATTAATTTAAGAAGTTTATATCTCATGATAGAAGCACCTCTAACACCAACTGGCAGCTGAAATGCTGCAGGCCTTTTGGGGGATCCCAAGGACATTCAGCTCCAGCACCACGAATACGCCACGATGCCTGTTCCCATGCTTGTCTGAAAGGAAGCAACGCTGCACCGGGCTCTAGAGATTCACATGTAGTTGTGTGCAGACAGATGAAAACACCACCAAATAGCAGATTTCCAGCACTCGCGTTGTATTTTGTCTTTGCGATGCAATGTGCATTCAGAGAGTGCTTGTTGCATGGTGTAACAAGCAGACTTACTTCCTTAAATTCTGTATTTATATGTTTTGAACGCCTAACAGTTACCCCACCAAGAAATGAGGAGCCCCACATTGCCAGCATGTGCATAGGAAGAGCAGAGAGCATAAGAAATACCCCGTTATGCAGCCACTTGCAAATCAACCCTAACTGACAAGGGCAACAAACACAGGAGGTGCCAACGTATCCACAAGCCACATTTTTTAATGCTGCTGAAACTCTGATCAATGTTTATCTTGGCAGAAAAAGCCCTTGAAAACTATTAGTCAGTAGTATCTGACATTTTGAATGCATGCTATCGCCCTTCCAGAGTCTTCTCTATGTGAATTCTTACACCTCAAATAGCAGGTTTTTGCATTTAAACCTGACAGCATGAATGGCAATTTCACTCACATTCCTAGCACAGCAAAAAATCAGATGAGAGCACTGTATTTTTGCAGGCAAATAGATCTCAAATACCACAGCTAACAGCTCCACATGCAAGTGAGCCTGAATGGTTCCAAACCAACCACAATCAAGACATCTCTCAAAAGTATTAAAAACACAGATATGGTACCTTTGGAAAAACAGAATGAGGTAATCTGCCTAATTTCCAAATGAATACAGAATTAAATATCTCTAATTTTGCAGACCTGCCCGGCACAAGGCGAATGAGTTTCAGCACAGCCCAGGCTGCAGTCACCACTGATGAAGTGTGGAGGGAAGAAGCTAATTAGTTCCTGCAGAGCAACTCAAGAAATGAAATTAAGGACAAAGTTCTGAAATTCCCAGATAAGTGTGAAACAGCACAGTTCCTAAAGACTTGAAAAATATGAGAAAATTAGAACAGGATACAGGGAAACATGGATAAAGTTAACATTTTTGAACAGTTCCAGATGATGTTTTTACATGCCATAGATAAGTGCTTATCCTCCACACACAAAAGACGAGCTCTGGAAGCTCACCAAGCAAGAACTTTCCTTGAGCTCATTTGTCTCCTGGCTACAGCACCTCTTGAAAAAAGCAGTAAAAAAAGTCTCTCAACTTTCCTGCCAACACAATAGGAATTCGGAAGCAAGTTTAAGGTACCATTGCAGCAATTAAGAGTAAGAAAATATATGTCTACTACAGATACCTCTCTCTTCCGGATGATTAAGGAGACAGATATTTACAGAACTGCAGAATCACAGAATAATTGAGGCTGGAAGGGACCTTTGGAAATCATCTAGTCCACCCCCTGCACAAGCAGGGGCACCTAGAGCACGTGGCAGAGGGCCACATCCAGGCGGGTTTTGAAGATCTCCAGAGAAGCAGACTCCCAAACATCTCTGGGCAACCTGCTCTAGTGCTCTGTCATCCTCCTAATGAAGAACCTTTTCCTCAAATTCTGATAAACTTCCTCTCCTTCAGTTTCTGGCTGTTGCCTCTTGTCCTACCACTGGCCACCACTGAAAAGAGTCTGGCTCCCTCCTCTTAACACCTCCCCTTATGGATTTATACACGTATTCTACATAGAATAGACAAAGAAATGCTACTTACTCAGCAGAGACCACAGAAATTCTCTTCTGAAAGGCAACATCAGATGGATACCTGATGGGCAGGTCAATTCCCTCATCTTGCAGACGTGACCCTTCATAACACAAGGCCGCCACAACAGCACAAAGTGGCACCACACGGTAACTCAAGGCTACCAAAAACAACCTCAAGTTTTATACATTGTAATACTCTTTAGAACTGTGACAAAGCCTCAATTCACTTAAATTCTTATCCTAGGCTACTTGGAGAGATTTTTAAATTCCCCTTTGATTCTCTTACAGATTTTTTTTTTTTGGGGTGATCATTCCTGACATGAAGAATGTTTAAAGACCTCCTCTTTTTAAATTTAAAAACCACACCAGCAATTATAAGGCACCTGAGGAATCTACATAGTTTTTCTGTATGACCTCCTGATTCATGGGATTTATAACAATTCCATATTTTCCTGTGATTTTTTACAGGACAAAGAAGGTGTTAACATACCTGGACCTACAGATCTTTACGCTAGATCACACATTCTTAATTGTCCATAAAGACCACTTCTACAGAGAAGCTAGAGCAGAGATCACATTGGCAGATGTTGACTACATTAAGATTTTTGGCAACTGTAGAAAAATAAGTAGAAAACCATTGGGTTCCTGGGGCCAGTTCAAAGTTTTGCTGGCTGTTCACAGATGTAAATGATTTGTTTTCGTAAAGCAGCTTCTCAGGGCACAATAATGAAGTTTGATGCTGTACTTGTAAAGTTGGGCTGTTTTGAAACTGAACATTTTGATAAAATAGTGACATATTCCTGAGAATACTGCCAATCAGAAACAAGGAAGATAAACTGAAGCTGAATTAAAGGAATAAATAAGCTATCAAATATATATAACAAGGTATGTATTTGGATTGTTTTAAGAGCAAGTATTTCAAAAATTTCTCCAAGGACGCTTTGTATCTACCAGCCATCTATCAAGAGGAGAGAGTTCTGAATATTAGGAAAAAAAAAAACATACGTGCTTTAAGTAGAAATTACTTCTGAGATGCTGCGATTCAAAAGCTCAAAGATTTCCCTTCAAGCAGGCAGGGAACTCACTCCAATAACAGAAATTTCTTTGCAGCACATATAGCCTGTGTACAACTACAAACACCCCAAAATTTTCAGTACAGGTGGCTGTTCACACAGTGCAAGTCCTGGCCCACTCAGGACACTGCCAGCTGATTCACACAAGTGCACAACGTTTACACACACATCTATATTTGGGTTCGTTTCTCATTCCTCCCATTTTTGGGATACTTTAAAAGGTACAGGCATTTAAAATACATAATTTAGGCTGGGCAGTAGGAGGGAAACAAGCCACTCCCAACTTAAATTTTCATGCTCATGTCTACTTTTATGTAGCAGATCATTATTTAACATCTAGAACCAATGCTGGTAAACACAGTTATCTAGAAGACTCAATTTTTTTGCTACTTTTTAGCCAGTTGGAATTTGGGTTTAATAACCTGAATAGTACAAGCATTAAGCCTGTTTCTGTAGGAATGTAGCATTGGAAATTGAGACTCCTGGTTTTTGGTTAAAGATGGCTAAAGGTCTTCCATAGGCTCTGTTTCATGTGTTGTTGGTACCATGAAACATGTTTAAAGTCATCTATTTCTGTCTAAGTGAGATGCTTGACGTTACGAAGGGAAGTTAAATGTGAACTGCAAAGCACCGAAAAGGTCATTAAGCAGCGGAGAAAAGCAAAGTTTATTTAAAAGAAATACAGGAAAAGAGTTTTAGTAGACCGATCTTCTCTTGCATTTTGTCCCACATCATTTTCTTTTTAGACTGCTCAGCCATCCAGGTTAATGACTATCTCCTTTCTGTCTGCAAGTCATTGGTATGCCATTACCTCAGTATAAGTAAGGAGTGCACCATTACAGTTGTGTGTTTAAATTCTCCCTTGCCTTATTCACACTGGTATGATGCAATACCAAGTCTCATAACAATTTTCACAGTAGGGAGATTCATGCTGATTTCCATGGAAACCAGCAAGACCCC